TCTGTCCTTCAAGATCTTTGACTTGGATGAACAGTTCTTCTCCTCACTTATTACTTACTGGCTAAGTACCTGCCATGCCTGGCTCTTTACAAGAGCTGGGGACACAGTGGCTGGTCACACAGCCTCTGTGCTTGAGGTTCAACCAGGGCCAAAGGGTCAGATGATTAGGCAGCTGGGATACTGTGTGGTGGGGGACGGTCAGGGTGCTTTGAGATCACCCAGGTGGGCCCAAGCTCTGGCCACAGGGGTCAGGTACAGCTTGCAGGAGGCTGTGTGGAATCTTGAAAGTAAGCCAGAGGTGGCCAGGAGAAAAGGGGAAGATAGAGGAGGATGGCAGAGGCCAGAAGAGGACAGCAGAAGTCTGGGGCAGCGGGTGTCCTTGGGAAGGAAGATCAGCTCAGGATGGCGGCTTAGTAGGACTCTAAGGTGCCTGTATATGCAATCCTGTTAGTGGAGAGTGCTGAATGCTGGCCAGGTCAGCCACCCAAGCGTCTGAATGGCTTTGTAAGAATCTTGCCTCAATCTAATGCCAGTAAGGAACCATGAAGGGTTCCAGGAGGGGAGAGTGACAACTCAGTATGTTTTAGCTTTATGTGGGTGGCTGTTGACAGTCTGGAAAGATGGAACAAAGGCGGCTCATGGCATCTTCTTTATGGAGTGAAATGCCCATGCACAGGGCTGGCTTCCTGACTTCCTGGTTCTGTATCTGTGGTGACGTGAGGGACCTAGTCGGAGAGGCTCTGCACTTGCTCTCTGCTCTGCTCTGGCCATCTTGAAAATGTCAACCATTTTTAAGCTAGAGGCTTCACCTTCTCCCTTTGTGCTGAGCCCTGCAGATGATCTAGCTGGTCCTGCAGGTGTGTGTGGTTAAGTGGTGGGAATACCCTGAGAGGAGTCAAGTGTACACATGGTAGTATGGGGCTTTGTGACTCCTATCATCATTGACCGAGGGCCCTGAGCGGGGAATGACAAGTTCCAGGAGGAAGAAAGGAAATGGAAACTGCTTTTGTGGCTTTTCCCAGGAAGGAAGAGGGTATGAGGCCTGAGAGGAGGAGGTGGGTGAAGTCAGGGATGCCCTAGATGTCTACAGAGAACAATTCAGATGGCCCCTGTCTCCGATGGAGAAAACCTGCCAACGGAACTGCATTCTTTTGCAGGAAGCATTATCTACTCTTTATATTCCCCCACCCCCTAATGTATGTAGCAAATTCGGTTCCAAATTCACCTTGGCTAGAAGACTTTCCCCCCTGGCCCTGGTGGTCCCAAGAGCATCACGGGAAACTGTTCAACCTTTAAGAGGCTCAGTTTCTCCATCCCTCTGCAGGACAGGTCACCTCAGCAGGACCCGTGGTCTCTCCTGACTGACAAAAGGAGTCCGCAGGAGCACTCTTTGCAAGTTGGTGAAAGCTGCTCCTATTTTATGATTTTTTTCCATGGCCTTCCTGAGGCCCGGCCCTGGAAAGCCACAGGTCAGGGTTTCTGGTGGTCTGGCTCAGTTGGGTGATGCTGTTGTGGGAAGAAAGCTGCCAGCCCCAGCTGCAGTCAGGAACCCTCCTTCTCTGTGTCATCCTGTTTGAAATGTGGAGTGGGTTGCCATAGCAACTTGCCCAGCTTGCCCCTCAGTATACCACATGGAACAAAACCTCCTGTACTGTAGAACAGCAGCACCTAAGCCACAGGCTAGTTCCCTTGCCTCAGAGAGCGGGTGCTGTGGAGGGCATGCCGGGCTGGATGAGGTAGGGACGCAAGGCAGCTAGACCATGTAAGGTAGGACTCATCTCACCTAGTTCCTGGCCAGCCCTGGTGCCTGGAGCTCAGCCATTAGACTTTCATTCTTTGTGCTCAAGCCTCAGCCCCGTTAAAGAATGCAAATCCATTTGGGCAGGACACATCAAGTTGTCATCCCTCATTAGCACTCTTCAGCACAAATGAACTCATTAGGAACTAATGGGGGCCAAAGCTCAGTGCAGGTTTTGATTAAGGGAGCAGGAAGGAGCAGGCAAGGCAGGGAGGAAAGAATGGCCCAACCTGGACCTGAGGTTGAGCCCTTGGGTAAGCAGTGTCCAGGTATTGGGCACATAGAGGAAAGGTGGGAGAGAGCCCTTCTTGGCCTTGAGCTAGTATGGGGAAGAGACAGATCTCCAGCCATCAGATACAGTGAGGATAACTTCTCACCAAGCCAGCATCTTCCATGGGGTCATTTCTACCCAGCTGAGTGTGCTGGGAAAGTCCTAGGCACCCCAATCTCCTGGCCCACACAGCCAGCTCCTTCATAAGACATCTTACTGTGCTTTTATGCCTTCCAGGCCCAGCTTCGAAAGAAAGCATCGTGTGTGGATTAATGCGGTGGCTTTGGGGCACAGCCTCTAACTGTTGGCATGATCCTGGAGGAGCCACTTTACCTCTAGCATGGCACCTGACAATCACAGCAGAGGTGTCACTTTTGAGGTCTGTTAGAACATCACGTGACAATCTTTCCCTGCACTCCAAGGATCAACTGACTCCAAAAGGAAGCTCTTGAGACAATAATTCCCTAAACAGAGCACCGTAGAGAAAAAAGTTTCTTAAATTCCCCAAAGGAACTCTCCCTCCCAAGCCTAGTCAGCTTGGGCTCAGCTTTTCCCTAAACAACAGGGGACCCAGAGTAATGTGTGGTGGGGTGAGGATGAAGAGGTAGTATTGTGGGGTGAGGATGAAGAGAGGGGTTACTTGCTGTTGGAAGGAGGAGGAAGGGAGGGAGGGAGGGAGGGTCAGAGAAGACAAGAGTAGAGGGTGACACTAAGTCCCTGGATGGGGTGCTGGGAATGGTGGGGAGACAGCAGTTAGCAGTCCTCATCCCATCTTTGGGGATCCACAGTGGGGGCAGGTAAGCAAAAGGGGGTACGACTCCACCCATCTGAGTGGGATCAGAATGTAGGGCCTGTGTGCGGTGTGAAGGTAGTCAGTTTATAGCGGCTGAGGGTCTTAGACAATGAGCTCCTAGAGGGTGGACAAAGGGGGACAATGAGACAGACAAGCTTGCCTCTTCTGTTCTCCCAAGATGGACAGCGGGTAGTGAGCCTTTCATGTTTACACCCATCGTGCTTAGCGCTTTGCTTTGCTGTTCAGTTTCGACCTCCTCCTTCTGGAAGCCACTCCTTACTTGGTCCAGGAGACCCTGAATGACTTTCTGAACAAGCTCATCATTTGCTCTCCCCAGCCCAGGCTTTGTCCTCAGCCACAGGCAGGGCCCAGACTGCAGCATGCTTCCGGCCACCGCTCTTTGTACGCAGAAGTTCTTGTTCCAACACTGATCAATGCGGTTAATGAGCCCCATATTTCAAGAAGCCAAACTGACCAGAGTGGTTTTCTCCATAGAGAGGGAGTTCTGAGTCACAAATCCCATGTCATTCCATGCCAGTGTTCACCCTTGAATGCCTTGGGAATCACCAACATTGTAAGCGCCATCCATTGAATTGGGGGCCGGTGGCTCACGCCTATCATCCTAGCTACTCAGGAGTCTCAGATCTGAGGATCATGGATCGCAGCCAGCCCGCACAGGAACGTCTGTGAGGCTTTTGCCTTCAAGTAACCAGACGAAAGCCAGAAGAGGTATGTCTCAAGGGGTAGAGGGCTAGCTTGGCTTGAGCAAAAAGCCAAGCAAAAGTGTAAGGCCCTGAGTTCAAGCTCCAGTACCAGCACTCACATGTCCGTCCCCCGCCCCCCTCCATGCCATTGATTGCATACCAAGCTGGATATTGGCTTTCCCTTCCCTTGCTTAATTATCCCAACAACTTCAGGAGCTCAAGATTCTTCCAGCAGTGCCAGCTGGAGCACACCTGCAGGTGCGAGGTTGCCTCACTGGTGGGCAGCTGTACAGCGGCCATCGCTGAGCCAGAATTGGAAGCCCAGGGGGGTCCAACCCCTTTGCTTTTGCTTGCTGAAGTTGAACTGACTAGTTCCCCCGCCCCCACCCCACCCCACCCCCAGCCTCTCAGGCAAGGCTGGGAAATCGGTTTATTTTTTGGGTAAGGGCCATGTGGCAGGTTGATGTTAGCTGGTATTGATGTGTATGTTCCAAAAAAAAAAAAAGCTCTGAGAGTTATTGAATTTCAAGTCAGCAGGACTGCACCTCAAGATTTTGGGGGATCTTTTCAGCCTGTGGGCCCCAGATGCCCACTCCCGCCCCCTGCAGGAAAAGCTGACCCCATTTTGGGGTCTGGGGCGAAACAACCCTCCCTGTGTCCGGGCCTCTAGAGAATCTGAAGACTGTTGTAGAAGAAGTAGTCTCCCCTTCTGTCGGGAGGGGGGGTGCTTTGCTGGCCTGGTCGGGGGGCTCTTCCCTGGCCTTCTGCAAACGCAAACTGCCCCGCACCAACATTGGGTCTGGCCGACTCCCACTGGCCCTCCCGCGGGACGTCTTCATCCCTGCCTCCCGAAGGACCTCCTGGGCGGCCCGGACTGGGTGCCTCCCACCCCCGGGAAAAGCTGGGACCAGGCCGGGCGAGACGCCCCGGGAAGAGGTCGGGGCGGCGCGGGGCTAGCCTCCAGCTCCCCGCCGCGCCCCCCAACACCTGGAGCGCATTAGGCGGCCCGGCGCGTGGCGCGTAATTCCAAGCCGGCTGGGGGCGCCGCCCCGTCCTTCCCCCGGGGGACCCGCACTGCAGCACCGGGGGCCACGCTGCCCGCGGTCCGTCCGGCTTGCCCGGGCGCCGTCCTCCGGGGCCGTCCCAGCCCAGCGCCCGACGCCCCGCGGTGCCCTCCGAACTTCCCACCTCGACTCCCCGCAACTCTTTCCAAAGTCCCGGCCCGGAGTCCACTCCGCGCCTCCCTCCTGGGTGGAACTTGGGGTGGGAAAGTGGGGGGGGGCGCACAGTTCCCGGTGTGTGTGTGGGGGGGACCCAGGTCCCCAAGAGCTTCCCAGGAGGCGCGCGCGCCCCCGATCCCGGCTCCACGAGCCGGGCCGGGCCGTAGACGCAGGAGGGGGACACAAGGGAGGGAGACACAAGCGGGACACGCACCTGGACACAGGCTGAGCACCCAGGCCACCACGAGGCGCCGGGGCAGGTCCATGGCGCGTCGTCGGCGGGCGTCGGCGCAGAGTGGGACCTGGCACTGGGTACCAGAGCGGGAGCAGCGCGGGGACCGGGGATCGGGCACCGGCGGCAGCAGCAGCCTCCTCCCTCCAGCCTTCTCCAGCCTCCTCCAGCGGTGGCGGCGTCCTGACAGCCGCGGCGCCCGCGGAGGAAGTGGGAGGCCCGCGGGGAGGGGCGCGCCGCCGCCCTGGCTCCGGGCCAATCCCGGCCCCTCTGCCACCTGGGCAGGGGCGCGCGGCGGCGAACACGCCCCTCCCCGCCGCTCCTCTCCCTGGCAAAGCCCGGGACAGCGGCTCCTGGGGTCCGCACGCCCCGGTAGGCACCTGCCTCTGTCCAGGAAACGTGGACAGAGGGGTGCTGCCTCCCCTGACAGAGCAGATGCCCCTGCATCGCCCATGGGGAGGGGAGTGGGGGGGTGAGCACACCCCCTGGGGCTTGAAATGTAAATATCACCTTTCTTCTGGGACCCCGGGACCCCTCCATCTCCACTTCCCCCACTTCCACATCCGAACCATCCATCTCCAAACATTTGGAGAGCCACTTTAACGAGCAACGGAACCTTTTAGAACCCAGGCACCTTCCCTCCCCTGTCTTGGTGATCCCCACCCCGCCAACAACCAACTACAATGAGCTTTTAATCAGGGCGCCCTGAGCCCCAATCTGTGGAGCAGAGATAGAAGGCAAGATGGCCGTGAACCTGTGGGGGAAACCTAGAAAAGGTCAGTCACTTTTGAGGGACCACATTCTGGGCAGCAGCCTCTCTCTCTCCCCCTTCCCCACCCTTCAGTCATCAGACATCTCTCCCTCCCTCCTTCCTCCTTCTCTGTCTGTGTCTCTTTCTGTCTTCCTCCCTTCATTGTACTTTATAGACAATGCGATCATTTAACTTCTCTCTCCCTGAACCCAACCTCTGTTGGTTTTTGCTCCTTCCCAGATGAGGTAACTGAGAGTGGATGCCAGATAGTGAAGTTTTGTGTTGTGTTTTGTTTCTGAGACAAAAAACAACTTTTTAAAAAACAATTGTAAAATTTTTAAAAATGTATTGTTATTAGAAAGGTCATGTACAGAGGGGTTACAATGATGTAAATCCTGTAAAGAGTACATTTCTTTTTGAGACAGGGTCTCTTGATAGAGTCCATGCTGGTCTTGAAATCCAGATCCTTTTGCCTCAGCTTCCTGAGTACTGGGATTGCAGGTGTACATTACCAAGCCTAGCATGAGTTGGGTTTTGAGAAGGCTGACGTTCACAGTAGAGTGTTGAGTTTTGTGTTCGCCTCTTTAGCATTGTTCCTTCCTTGGTAGGACCCTAGTTTTCACTTTAGTATATTCATCTCTTCTACTTAGGCACAGCAGATTGGAGGAAACTGATTTCACCAAGGGTGTGTGTGTATACAGCTGTATGTACATGTGTGCATGCGAGTGTATGTGTGAGAGAGAACAGGGCATGTGGTTAGAGTGAGATGAATCAGAGTGTTCCCATTCCAGGCCTTGGTTTCAGAAAGGGCACAATGAGGAGAGAAACCAACTTTCTTGCTTTTCTGAAAGGGCCTCTGGAATGAAAGCCCTAACCAACCCCATCTCCTTCGTCTGCCTCCTCCTCCAAACTGGAAAAGGGATCACATAGGCTCAGAAGTGGATGCCGGATAACACATGAAGCCCAGTTCAGGCAAGCTACTGTCTGTAAGCCTCACTCTCCCCTTCGACTTCCCAGTGATGTGACTGGGGACCAGGGCTCCAGCCAGATGCTGAACCTGGCTCAGCTTAATTCCTGAGGACCAGTCATTTGATGGGTTGTATCTTGTTCCCTGCCCAGCTTCCCCACCCACACTCTTCCTCGTGGTGCTCACACATCAAGTGTATCGGAATTCTCCAAGGAAATCATGAAGACTGCAAATCCTCCGGGGATATTCTAACCTGCACCCTTCCTGCCGGCACTCTGGGCGCACTGTTGGGCTAAGTGACGACAGTTCTACCTTTGTTAGCCATTGTGTTTATCATCTTCACATTTTGTTGAGATGCAATTCACATGCCATAAAGTGTGCCGTGTAAGTCCATGGCTTTCAAGTATATTCTCATGGTTGTGTAGCCATTATTGCTAATTTCACATCTTCATCATCCCTGCACCCACGAGCAAGCCTCCACCCCCTTTCCTGTCCACCACACATTTTCTGTCTCTCTGGCTCTGCTATGCCGGATATTTAATATCAGCAGATCCTACAATACGTGGCCATCCACACCTGACTTCTTTCCCTCAGCCCAGAGTTTCCAAGATCCATCCATGAGGTAGCGGCTCTGTTCTGGTGACACTCCACTGAATGGGAGTCTTACCCTTGTAAGACAGGGCTTACCTGGGTATTGGTGGGCTGCCATGAACATCTGTGTGCATGTTAGCGTGAGCATGAGTTCATGGGTCTCTTGTCATGTTGTTGTGTGTGACAACAGGCCACATCTGGAACAGGGGTCCCAGACAGCAGGATGTCGTCCATGTTGCTTGAGCATGTCTGCAGCGTTTGCACAGCAATGAGATCGCCCTGAGGTGCCCTTCGCAGTGTGTCCTGTTGCCAGGGACACCTGAGTAGCTGGGAATCTTGAGTGGCATGGTGTTCCTGGAAGGGCTGGCACACTACTCTGTGTACATGGGTGCTGGGCACGGCTGTGCATCACATAGGCACTGGGCACTACTGTGTGTAAGCCTCACACTAGCCCTCCAAAGAATTGCATTCTCTTATGCAATAAAGATGCTGGTGGAAATTACATCCTTTTTTTTTTGTTGTTGTTGTTTTGTCGGTCATGGGCCTTGAACTCTGGGCCTGGGCGCTGTCCCTCAGCTCTTCAGCTCAAAGCAAGCATTCTACCACTTGAGCCACAGCACCACTTCTGGTTTTCTGGGGGTTGATTGGAGATAAGAGTCTCATAGACTTTCCTGCCCTGGCTGGTATTGAACTGCAATCTTCAGATCTCAGTCTCCTGAGTAGCTAGGATTACAAGCGTGAGCCACCGGTGCCTGGCTACATCTGTTTGAACGTTTGATAGGCGTTATTTTTTATTTTTATTTATTTTTGGTCTTGGCGGTTCTGGGGTTTGAATTCAGGGCTTCAGGCTTTCTAGGCAAGCATTGTACCCCTTGAGACATATCTCCAGCTATTTTTGTTTTTGAATTAGGGTCTTGCTCTTCCCTAGGCTGGTGTGAACAACGATCATTCTATTTGTGCTCTTTGAATAGCTTGGATTTTATGTATGTGCCACCACGCTTTCCCTCCCTGTGGAGAGAGGGTCTTATGAACTTTTTTCCCAAGCTGGTATGGAACTGTAATGCTTCAGTTCTTGGCTTCCTGAGAAGCTGGGATTATAGGCATGAGCCATCAATGCCCAGCTTCATTTTTATAACCAAGGCACTAGAGGAATTACACTTATTTTGATAGATAAAAACATGGTATAGGTGAGGTTTCCTCCAGTTGTTAGAGACAGAAACTCAATAGCAGACCAGGATTGATGCAGAACAGGAACGAAGCTCACAGTGAGTGTGACAGCATGCTAGCTTCAGGAATTATGAGTGGACTTTATGCTTCCTCTCTGTCTTCTTTTTTTTAATTTTTATTGTAAAGATACTATACAGAGGGTTACAGTTACATGAGTAAGGTAATGAGTACACTTCCTATTGAGCATTGTTACCCGCTCCATTGTTTTCCCCCTACCATCCCTTCCTCTCTATCTTCTTAAAAGAAGAGCTAAGGCTTTGCTCTGCTTTGTTTGCCTTTTCTGCAGGATCCAGGGTTTCACTGCTCTTCTAGAAAGATGATAGGTAGCAGTGGAAAGCTCTGACTGTCCAGATTCTTGAAGAGGAGAATCAACTTTTCTTCTAGATCTAGCAGAGACAACCTGGGCTTGCTCTGTGCCTTCCCTACACCAACCCCAGTGTCTGAGGGCATGCTGTTGTAAGTGGCTCAGGTCAGGACCCACACCCAGCCCTGGGTTGGGAGGAGGAGATGGTGGGACAGACAGCCCCACCAAGACCACATATTATAGGAGAGTCTCCCTAAGGAACCAGACAGGGAAGGGTGGCAAGGCCTGCTGGACAGACAAACCCATAATTGCTAAGGCCACTTACGATCTAAGTTCAGAGCAGCTGAGAGCCATTTAAGATCCCACAGGGCCTCCAGGCAGAACTGGGTGGGGAGTAAAGCTGTCTTGACCGATTCAGGACTTGTCCCCATCGCCCCTGCTGAACACCAGAAGTGAGCATTTCAGCTGGGCCTGCACATGTGGCCAGCCCAGAGGGACGCCCTGTGGTGGCTCCTTTTGCTGCTTCTCTAGCTCCCAGCCTGCACCCTGAGCACCTTGGCTCAGGGCCCTGGCTTCTCTAGAAAGGAGTGCTGGCCCCAGAGAGTCCCGAGCTCTCTAGGACTGGCAAAGTATCCCACCAGGCCACCCTGGCTTCATTCCGAGAAGTAGCTTTCTCTGAGACTCTTTCTCTGCGTTTCTCCCCTCTGTGACCTGGGTTGGCTGGGAATGAGAGATTTCCCAGATTGCTTGACTTTTGGGGTCTGAACTGGTGAATGGGACAGGTTGGTCTTCATTCCACTTGAATCCTCTGCCTAATTTTGCCCAGTACTTTCTGTGTCTGACCTCCAGATCTGTCTTTCTCATTCTCCAGCTGTTTCACTTCACCTTCTTGCACCAGGGAGCTTTCCAAGCAGCTGTTCTGAGCGAGCCTCACCATGGGGCTCCACTGTGGGGCACCATGGCTTCCACAGCCTCCTTTCTGTAACCTCAGCCCCCATCTCCTCCCCATACCTCCAGATGATTCGTATTTATGGAATGCAAATGCCTTCTGTTTTTATTTATTTTTTAATCTGTTTTTTTTTTTTTGTCCGTTGTAGGGTTTGATCTCTGGGCTTGGGCACTGTCCTTGAGCTCTTCAGCTCAAAGCAAGTGCTCTACCACTTGAGCCAC